GCTCTTGTTAAGATTTCTACACAATCTTTTGCTCAACCTTGCACTCTGCATATATTGTTGTTTTGAGTTTTTGAGTCTTTTCTGTGTTCTTCTTGGGAGCCAATGATGTAGCCATCCAGGCCTACAATTTCCATGGAGGAAGGGCTTAAGGATATCAACACTATTGGATGTGGGCTTAGGGGGCTGTCTTGAATCTGACTGACAGCCTCAAGGGTTGCTATTCTCTGATGTATAGGGCGATTCCCAGTGAGGGTGCAGCTGTGAGTCACCAGCAGCAAGAAGACCCTTAAGCTAGTGGATGCATGTGGGCTCTGGAGTGGGATTCTGGGTAGAGTGCCACAAAATCTACTGTGGAGATAGAGTCCAAACTTAAAGTATCTTACGTGAACATATAAATCATTTGGGATTTATAAAACTATGAACAATTGAGAGGTATTAAGTATTTCTTGATAGGGAATATATATGATAAAATATGTATGGTTAACATATCTGTGAAGAAGTAGGGTAATGATAGATATTTTTAAAAAGATGAGAATGGATGTAGTGATGAGACCAGTTAGAAGGTTATGGAAATGGCATATGCTTTGCATTCTGTTGCTGTGACCAAAAACCTGGAGGAGGAAAGATTTATTTTGACTCACAGTGTCTGAAGTTTTAGTCCATGGTCAGTGGGCTCTATTACTTCTGACCTGAGGGAGGTAGGACATCATGGTGGAAGTGTATGGCAGCTCATAGGAGCTGGGAAGCACAGGGAAAAGACTCAGTCCCCAAGAGCATGCCTCCAGTGAACTACTACTTCCAGCCACATCCCCGCTACCTACAGTTACCACCCAGTAGTCCATGCAACTTGTTAAATCATGGGCTGGGGCTGTAGCTCTTTGGTACAGTGCTTGCCTAGCATATGGCACTGGGTTCAATTCTCAGCACCACATGTAACTAAGTAAAATAAAGGTCCATTGACAACTAAAAAAATATTTTAAAAATTGTTACTTCATCAAATGGATTGATCCCACTGATGAAATTACAGCTCCTATAATCCAATATATATTTTTTCAACTACCTAATCAATTATTTAGATGAATATATAGAAGCTATGTTCATCATATTTAATTTTGGAAGGGTGAGAGAAACATGAAATCAGTCTCTGCAGTGATTTTTAGTGTTTGGATTAAAGAAGTAAGACTAGGTGAAATTTGACAACAATAAATATTAGTTTGTATTAGGTTGAAAATCACTTGGACAAGCACACAATCAGGGCAAAATGACAGTCAGACAAGCAAATGTGACCTTCAGTTTTATTAGTAGAAATACAATATTCGAAATAAGCATGCTAGAAGTACTGATCTGTTCCACATGCTTTAGAAAGCTCGTCATTTAATGGTCTCAGTTGTTTATGTCATACTTTACAAAAGACATCCACCACAGACAAAACAATGACACTTGACACTCAGGAAGTTAGGGAACTGAAGGTTTGGGGTTGTACACAAGGAAGAGATGTAGGAAATGAGAGGACTTATCTTCAAGGTGTGTAGAATTATTTGCAGAGAAGTGGGCAGGTAATGGGACTGGAGAAAACATGATCATATCTTCAAATATTTGAATTGAACCTAATGCCAAGGATATTATTTTCAATGACCCCTTGAAGTAGACCTGAAACAGAAGGCTGGAAACTTCAGAGCAGCTCTCAGAAAAGGACTTGTCCCCTTACCTTTTATTTTCTTATCGACTATACCTAACCACTTGGCAGTTACATTGAATATGGTCAAAATTAAATGTGAAGAAAACAACCTTAGACAAATCTCCTGAATCCTGAAATTCTGTGATGCTGGGACCTGGGGATTTGAGGACTGCATTGAGGGCTAAGATGCACTGAGTCCCTTTGAGTCCGGGTCCACGTGCACAGGTTCATCATGCATCCAACTCACAGCTTCGTCCCCTACAGGACTTAGGGGCTTCAAAGTTAGGGGAAATGAGAAATTCAGGGCCTTCCAAGTAGCACTTGTGTCTTTGAGGTTTTACAAACCAGGAAAGGGAGGAAGTGGGCATTTTCAAAGCATTTAATATTTGATAACAAAAAGTTTGCTAAAAGAAGTAAATTTGAATTTCTACTTTTATTTTCACAGAGTTTCTATGGATTCAAGACTTTCACAGAGTCAGTAAATCAGCCACCATATAACTATTTCAAATTATTGGGAGTGTTTTTTTTCCTGAATCAAAGAACATAATGAGCCAAATATTTAATTCTCTCAGTCACCTTATAGATGCTACCTTTACCTCCCAGCTGCATGCCCATAAGGATAACGTTAAGGTTTGGACCTGAAATGTCCCTTAAAGGCTCATGTGTTGAAGGGTTGGTCTCCAATGTAGCAGTGTTCAGAGGTGGGGCCTATGCGAGGTGACTGGATCCTGAGCACTCTGACCTCATCAGTGGATTAATCCCCCAACAAATTTGCAATTGGATGAGTTATTGAGAGGTGGTGGAAACCATGGGAGAGGGGTCTGCTTGAAGGATGAGGTGACTAGAAGTGTGTCCTGGAAGGGTTCATCTTGTCCCTGGTCCCTTTCTTGATCTCTGCTTTCCCATTGCCTTGAGCTGAGCAGCCTTCCTCTTCCAGGTCCTTCCCCTGTGGTGTCCTGCCTCTCCTCAGGCCCACAGCAAAGAGCCCACCAACCATGGACTGAAACCTCTGAAGCCACGAGCCACTGTAAATCTTTTCTTGTTTTAAGTTTTCCTCCTCAGGCATTATGTCCCAGCAATGAAAAACTGACTAACATAGATAATATTGTTCATTGACCACTACACTGTACGAGAAAAGTACAGGCTAAAAAAAAATCTTCTTCATCCCCATTCACACAAATTCTGTACAGTGATTCATTTATTCCTTCATAAAATATGCAAAAGAGTAAACAATACATGCCTCATTTATTAAATCTCCCATGTTTTCACTGCATATCCCTGATCAGGCTTTGGGACGGATGCTTTCCTTCTGTTACTCCCAGGTTCCCTGAATCACCAAGGTCTCTAGACATTTCAGGAAGTCCTATCCCTACCTCTCAGAGTTGCACCTGTGGGTGGGAAGGAAGCAGCACCAGAAAGTGAACTAGGAGCAGAGGTACCATCCTAGATCTGGTCACCCTCAGTCTTAGCCCTGGGTCCCGCATGCTATGCAAGGCTCCTCTAATCACGGTGTGCAAACAGATGTTGGGGATATCAAGTAAATACACCCTGTGATTCAGTAGGTCTGGAGTCGGGGCCTGAGAACTCGCATTTCTAATATGACCCCAGGTGATGCTGTTGGTCTGCGGAACACACTTTGAAAACCGCTGATTCACATTCGGTCTCTGAACCAGTGGACTCCCATTCTGTTTTTCCTCCAAACAGACCCCTCCCTACAGGATAAGTAGTTCATGTGATCCTGGGAATCTAACAACCCAGACTCCCTGAGCTATATTCTGGGTATTCAAGCCCCTAGAATTCCTATTCTCTGTTACCACTCATAGGACTGCTGACCTGTTCCTAGGCTGACCTGTTGATGGAAAATCCCTTTAAGTCTGCTTGCATATCTGGATCTATGGCTGACAAAGGGTTACCTATTTTAAGAGGTCTACCTGTATGGGCTGGGGTGGGTACAGAGACCTGACCATGCAAAGCCCCTCTTCCATATAGGTGGAGACAGGTGTAGACACAGAAAAGAGCCATGATCAGAGGACCTTCAGGCAGGAGGTTTTGTTTTTCTATCTATTGATGTCTATGCCAGAGAGAAATTCTATCCTCTTACAGGATTGTCCCTGATTTTAAGGCCACAGAATCACAGATAGCGATTGAACAACTCTTTTGCAGGAGGAACTGTTACATGTAAAGTGCTCTTCCTAGGGTGAATGAAGATGTCTGTTCTCTCCATCTCCCCCTCTCTACCTCATCCAGATAACCACAGAGCATGTAACCACAAAGCATGTGATAGAGCATGTGCTTTGGAGGTCCCATGGATTTCAGCTGAAATCCCACTTTAGATTCTTATGTGAGTTTAAGCAAGTTAGTTCGTCTCTTTGCTCTCAGTTTCTTTTAAAGTGGGAATAAAATCAGAATGTTTCCCCTCTCCCATAATCACCCCATTTTATTCTATTCTTCTCTCAGCCTTTAGCACAAATGCCACCTTCTTAGAGGGACTGAGTGCCTGTATCTAATCAGGAAGTAACTTTTCTTTCCTCCTATTTGTCCTTTGTATTTGTTTTTGTTTTGATTAATGTTTTACTAGCCAACAGCACACAGAGAGAGCAGGACCAAGTCTCTGTTCTCTGTTGTACCCCTCCAGCTGGCACAGTGCCTGGCACCTTATGGATGTGAAATGCATAAACCAACTTGCGGTCATTGTCACAATTAGAGAGAGGATATATTAAGGGACCAGCACCTAGTACTGATTTCTTTTCAGTATGATTCGTACTATAAATAGATATTTTATTTTGTTTTCTCACACTCAATATCAGGGGGACGATGGGGTGAATTTGGGACAGCTACAATCTGAATTGTCCAAGTCAAGAAAAAATGTGGTGTGATAAGCGACTGGCTGGAGCAACGGGAATCATGACACACTCTTTAGAGACTAAAGAAACAAAATACCCACAGTTTAAAACAAAGGATAATAAATAGAAGAAAAAGTTCTAGTTTACCAGTTTTTCTCACCCCCTTCCCCCATACCCAAATGGAGCATCTACTTAAAAAGTGTGTGGCCAAAGTCATTTCCTCCTCCAGCGTCCACATTGGCTGTCACCAGCCTCCCCACTGCCTCTTTGCAACTTGGGGGGTTATTTAACAGTTCTTTTAATATCAGTCAGCCCCAGAATTCTCTTGTCAAACATTTCTGGGGCCTCTACTTGAAAAAAGTAACGATTTTCTCAAATCTGTGAACAGGATACTTTTTTTTTATAGATTTAATGTCAAAATAAACCATCTGCTTGTACAACTGTTTCTAATTACTTCCCTGCCTAGACTCTCCACTCGAGGGGTTTGGCACCAGCACCCCGCCCAGAGCAGTGCCTGCCCAAATCCTCACAGGCGGCTCATCAACGCGATTGCCACTCCGGGTGGAGCCCGGACCTGTGAGCCTGGGTGTCCCTGGGTCCGTCTGCCCGGCCATCTGCTGGTGGTGCCTCTGCCTCCTGCCGCTTCCCCCCACTGAGCCCCACCTTGCAGAAGTGCAGCCCGCCCGCCCGCCAGCCGCACAGCCCGGAGCTCAGCATGTGTCCCCCGGGCTTCAGGCACTTCTTGCTGCTGGCCTCTTCCCTGCTCCTCGCAGGGCTGTCAGCTGTTCCTCAGAGCTTCTCGCCCTCTCTGAGGTAAGTGAGGTTTGTTGTTCTTTAAGGCAGAGCTGCCTGCTTTGCGTGGCAGGGTTGAAGCTTGCAGACGGCTGTCCCAAGCCAAGAGCAGACACTAAGTTGGGCATGCGATAAACGGTCTTCAACCTGTTGCTGTTGCTTTCCTCATGTCTACCCTGGTGTTGCTTCATCTCTCTCCTTTGCTTTTCCTTTGGAAAAATACAATCATTGGAGAAAAAAATATCATTTATCCTTGTGCAAACACATATCAGCAGGAATTTCTGCCCCGAGTTAAAGGTGTACTCTTACAAGTACAGAAAGATCTCAGAGCCCAGAAGACTGCATTGTCTGTTTCCCACAGCATCTACATGGAGTCTGTTTTGCATTCTGAAAGAGACTTTTGAGGTGCATCACAATTGCTAAATAGTTCATTTGCTTTTTGAAGCCAATTTTAAAAAGCTTTATTTCTTATATGACCACAATATGTAACTCCTTCTGTATCTTCATTTCTTTTCCACCAAATAACCACCCTCTGGCCAGCAGATAGCAATGGGACATTTTTTAAGAAGACCTGAAAAATCATTTGCATTTGATCTAAATGTGCATATAAGATTCAGCGCCGACCACCAAGGGCAGGGCTAGGTCACCTCTATCCACCAGGAAGAAGGTCATATTTTATATCGTGGTTATTGCTCAGGTGGATGGTACCAATTTGGGAAAAACACAGCCTTTGTAGGGGCTCCCAGAGGGATCAGGCTGCAGACCCGTGCCTGTGGGGTGAACACGGGGCAGGAAAACTGGGCTGGGAGCAGTCAGGGCTGTGTCTGTGTCTGACCCTTGGCCTGGCCTTGATTTTTGTCGCCCCTCAGAAGCTCGTCGGGCGCCCCCTGCAGGCTGTCCCGGGCCGAGTCGGAGCGCCGGTGCCGAGCACCTGGGCAGCCCCCAGGGGGCGCCCTGTGCCACGGCCGGGGCCGGTGTGAGTGCGGCGTCTGCATCTGTCACGTGACCGAGCCGGGCACCTACTTTGGGCCGCTGTGTGAGTGCCACGAGTGGGTGTGCGAGACCTACGACGGGAGCACCTGCGCAGGTAAGGCCGAGGCCCGGCCCCGCTGGACTGGGCCACTTCTTAGGGCTGCGAGGGGCGGGGACGCGCCTGCCTTGAGACCGCACCAAGTGAGTCACTGCGGATGGCGGGGGTGGCACTTCTGCAGGTGGGTTCTGACTGGCAGCCTTTATCCCAATACTTTCCTCTCCCCTGCATCCCAGCTTACCTGGAGGCAACATTTGTAATCTTCATTCACTTAATTCTAAATCCCCCTTGCCACTATTAAAGTTCCTTATATGGACCAAATTCCCCATATCCTCACTCGTGGGGTTACTCTGCTGGACTCACCTCCCCCATCCAGAATGTCAGTCATGATATTTGAAGATTGTAAGTCTGTCTGTTATTTCCATGGGGAAATTACCTTCCTGAATTCCATGCGGGTAGAATGGAATTGTCTTTGAATTCTGATTTGTTCCTTTACACTTACAAACCGGTCTAGTTCACTGAGGTGTGCACATCAGAAAACTGGAGCAAGGAAAAAAAAAAATAAACAGGCACATATTTTCTTCGAAGCAATTGTTCTTGTATTGTTTTAGCTGTTTGAATTTTTGAGCTGCCGTGGAACTTGGTATTTTGTTAGGGTGGAGCAAAATATTCATTTCCCTTGCACATTTTTAAGAAGTGATTCAGGTTCTGATATTGGAAAGGGTCAAGAAATTCCTTGGTAGAGAAAGAACCCTTGACCTCTTTACCAGTTTCATATAAACGAGTCATTTACTTGAGGCCAAGAGCCTCAGTTAGTTCACTGTCACCCATACAGGAACTCCATTAGTGAGGGACAACACCATGCATTCCAAGTAGGGTTTGGCAAATGAATTGGGGGAAAAAATAGCAACTTATTTTATTCTTGATGCAGCTAATACTGAGACATCCAACAATAACACACAGAGATCAGAAATGAGTTTATAGCAAAATGTTTTTTTTTCTTGGCACCTGGGCCCAGATGTATACTGTGAGAGTTCTCAATATATGTGCTGTTTGGCAGTGGGGGAAAAATAAATAGTCCTGGAGGTAATTTGGAGAGACACAGGTGTTTCTATGTGGTTTGTTTACCAATCTTTAAAATACTGATTTCCACAGCTTGTTATTCTAACTTCATCTGCCCCACGTGTTGCAGAATTATTAAGAGTAACCAACCATTTGGAATGAGAGCTAAGTGTCTCTGATATTTCATTCTTGATTCAACTGTTACCCAACTTCTCTGGCTTTTATTGCCTCTGACAAGCCCTCTTTAATATTAAGAGTTTTGAACAAAATTTCCAGGACTTTTTCTTTGTTGTTTCATTAGAGAAGGTTTGACATGCAGCCTTCAACTGACGAATCTGGCAAATGAGTGTCACCAGATAAACCTCCATGCTGAAGAATCCTGGCTGCCGCCTATGCAGAGGAAGGCTGTGGTAGATAGAGACCTTTTTCCTCCTGTGGAAAGTGATTTGTTGTTTATTCATAACATTGTAGTCACCACATTCCTTCCTGGTAGAAATGCAGTACTGAGTCATGTGCGGGTACACTTATATACAAGGCAAAATGTTTCTCTTTATTGCAATGCTGAATGAAATAGTTGTGTTCATTTGCCATTTTCACCTTGCTGACGAAGCCATTGAGGCTTCTCTCCAGGGCCTTGTGCAGAATCTGCCCCTGACAATACTCTGACCATGCCCTCCAGGCCCTGAAGAGTTCTTACACATATGCTCAGGTCAAGTTTCAGATTGCTGCATGCTTCAGATTTAGTTTCTCAATTCTAGTATCAAGAAGGAGTTCCCACTGTATAACTAGTGTGGAAACATAGCCTGTTTTCCATTTGTATGTACACCTGGGCCTCCACCTGTGATAAGCCCTGCAGGTGTCTTCCAAAAATAGTGTAACTTCTAGAAGCCTTCTCTACCTCCATGAAGGAAACAAAATCCTGCTCTGGTAGTTTATCATCAGTGGTGAAGAGTGTGCTGTTGGGGAAATCTGTGCCGCAGGATTCAAATCCCAGCCTTACCAGCTGTGTCAACTGGGGTAGTCACTTGAACATCCTAAGCCTTGGTTTCTTCATGTGTAAAATAGAAATTTTAACAGTGACTACCTTCAAAATTGTTGTGAGGTGTAATGTATATGAAACACTTAGATAGTGTCAGACACAAAGTGAATGCTCAATGCATATTAATGTGTTTCTAGATTAAACATGATGATAGTGATGTGTAAATCATGGGCTAGTATGGGTGGGTGGATAGATGGATGGACAGATAGTCAGCAGATAAACTGTCTTATGGTTGTTGGGCATTTGGTACAGTGAGAGCAATTTAGTTTTCTTCATGTATTCTGTGTCTGTTATTGATTTAAGGCCCAAAAGGTCAAGCAAGGATAGTTATTTTGGCCAAGCCTCAGAGCAGCTGTATTAGACATATTGTGCCCTTTTAAAGTGAAATCCTTTGGGATTGTTATCCTGTGAATCATAAGAAACTTACTTATTTTAGTTTTAGCTGGTTGAAAGTGATTATGTTCAGACTATCAAAAATCTATTTCTTGCAGCGTGTACTTGTTCATGGCTCATGATTCTCCCTGACTTCTATAGCATGGAGGTCTGGCCCAGTGATTGTTCCTACAGATGTGATCCTCTGTTAGGGGATAAACTAATTTTGGTGACTGTGTCTTTGAGAACAGTAAGATGTTTTCATGAAAACAAACTTTTAGTTGATATTTGCAAAGCATCTCTGGGTAACCCCCAAAACAACTATGATTACACTTAAGTAAAATGTTGGTTTCTTAAGAATGCTTTTGAAATATGTCATTTATAAGAGTTCAGTTTTAGCTGGGCATGGTGGTGTATGCCTATAATCTCAGAGTTGGGAGGTTGAGGTAGGAGGCTGAGGCAAATTAGAGGCCAGCCATAGCGATTTAGTGACACCCTGTCTCAAAAGATACAAAGTTCTGGGGATGTATCTCAGGGTAGATGTCCTTGAGTTTAATCCCTAGTACCACAGGGAAAAGAAAGAAAGAAAAACAGTACAGTTTTAGTACTTGGGAACGCTAATTGGATGCAACTTAGCAAACACTTATGGAGTACTGAGTGTTTGCTAGGCTTCTGCTGTTGAAGGGGGTGAAAGATGAGGGCTCTATGGCCCCTCAGCTTTGAGTCAAGAGGCTGAGAGAAGTCCCAAATACCTGTGGTACAGTGCAGGATAAAATGTCTACAAATTTCTTCAAGGATTCCTCAGAGGCAGGGATTAAATATTGTGGCTCAAAGTTCTTTTAAAAGAAGCAGCATTTAACGGAAGTCTCTAAGGATAGGGGGGTTTGAAATCTGAAAGGCAGGCTGTGATGATTCTGAGTGCAGAGAAAGGTAAAGGTTCAGGAGCGGTGGCATGGGGTTGTTTGGGGACTGTGAAGGACACAGGGTTGGCTTGGCCCTGTGAGGGGGTGGGAGATCTGTGGCGAGGGAGAGCTGAGCCTGCTCTCATGGGTGACGGAGCTTAGGTCCTGCATACATGTAAGTCCAGCGGGCAGACACCGGGGGAAGGAGGGCATTTAAAGGCTATTTAATAACAGAATCAACAGGGTGGGTAAGATGATCAGTTAAAACTGATGATGAATTTGTAGGTCTGAGCCTGGGAGAGAGAGAGTAGGTGGGATAAAGAAGGCAGGAGAAAGACCTGGCAACTCCTAGCCAGTGATTTTAAGTCCTTATGAAAACACTTATCTTTACCGGGGGCTGCTGTACAGTGAAGAATTGGTGCTCACACAGGGAGAGCCTGTGCCCTACTGACCAGCAGTAGGTCCAGGACTGGATGGGCATCTCATCTCAATTATTGACCTGGTTGACTTGTCTGATGTGTTAACCTTGACCCAGTTACTTAATTCCTTTGAAATTTAGGGTTTTTTTGGGGGGACAACATCCTTATGGAAATGAAGAACCTTATATCATGATGCATGATATTCAGAATAATTTCTGTATTTAAGTATAAATACATTTAAGATGCAGCTGATTTATACATTTATTCAGATTATATATAAGACATTTTTATAAACATTGGTTTATATGTGTAAGCACAGATAGTATAAGATAATTAAAATACATCGAAACACCCCTAATATATAAATAGGACTCATTTTTTTTTCTTGCAGCTATTTCTGACTTTTCTGAGCTTAAGCAACTTGAGTGGGATTGGCACGTCCCTGTTCTTGAGCACTGGGCTTGCTGGATCTTCCTGGTCTGTCTGAGGACTCTTTGACCTGCTTTTTCCTCGGGTTGCATTCTTTCTTAGACTGCTGAATAATTTCCTTCCAAGCCTATTTTGCAGGATTATTTTTCGGTTTTCCCTTTCTTAGTCATTTTCTGCTTTCCACCTTTCTTTCTTTCTTCACGTCTCATCCAATCCTGCTTCTCGCCTCTCTCTCCCTGCCTGGCCCTGAGATGTAGACCTACATCTCTGTGCCCCCAGGTCAGAGGCACGGAGCTTGTGAGAAGCTGTCTGTCCCTCCACCCTCTTTCTGAGGGAGGTGATTATCAACCACACACACCTCGTGCCTGCTGTTCTTTTGGTGTGTTCTCATGGTGGTCTTTGTGCCACTTGTGGTTTTGGAGAAGATGATCTGGAGTTCTCTGCCACCTGCTTCCCCTGAGTCTCTTTTGGAGTTCACCCTAGGAGATTCACTTCTTTCCATAGATGCATCTTGTCTTACCCCCAAGTGACATATGACAGTTAAAGGTTTTCATCCTGAAATGAGGTGCCAAGTATGCACACCATTTTTTCTCAATTTTACTGGCTAACGTGGAAAGCACTCTGCAGCTCTACCCAAGATCCAAGATCCCTGCCCCTGAACATTCCAGAAGAGCATATTTATAACATTATGTTGTTTAGATCTCATTTAATAGAAAAGGGATAAGTTCAGTAGTTTTTTTATTTTATTTTTTTTAGGTAAATTTTCCCCAGAAATAGAAGAGAACATATGGGAACTAATTTATTTGTGTGGCGTGTTTTAAATTTGCAAAGTAT